ATCATTCTGGATATGATACTTAGGAGAGAGAAAAAAATGAATCGTGAAACCCTATTTCTTTCTTTAACCTTTATGTTTAGGAAAGTACTTGTCAAAGTTAAGCAGTGAGGACAACTAAGAATCCTATACTCCGGGATTTAGGATGAAAATATTTAGGACTTTAGGGATGGAGGAAAGGCTCAAGTGATAGAATGTCTATCAAGCATGAGGACTTGAATTCAAATCCCCATATCCCCATCCCCAACCCCAACCCCCCAAAAAGAAGGAAAAGAAACCAAGACTTTAAAGAGGCAAGGGTGTAGCCGGCGCCAGTGGCTCACGCCAGTAATCCTAGCTACTCAGGAGGGCTGAGATGGTTCAAAGCCAGACCAGGCAGGAAAGTCTGTGAGACTCTTATCTCCAATAAACCATTATAAAACCAGAAGTGGAGCTGTGGCTCAAGTGGTAGAGTGAGCTAAAGAGCACAGGGACAGTGCCTAGGCCCAGAGTTCAAGCCCCACGATTGACCAAAAAAAAAAAAGAGAGGCAAGGGTGTGAAATGCAGATCTAATCAAACTTTTGGCATGTCATTTTGGAGACTATAATTCCCAAACAGTACCTAGAAATGACTGACACTTAGAAAAGTCATTCAATAAATACTTTTGAATTCGAGTAATTTTATTTATTTATTTATTGGCCAGTCCTGGGGCTTGAACTCAGGGTCTGGGCACTATCCCTGAGCTTCTTTTACTCAAGGCTAGCTCCCTACCACTAGAGCCAAAGCACCACTTCTGGCTTTTTCTGTTTTTGTAGTACTGAGGAATTGAACCCAGGGCTTCATGTATGCTAGGCAAGTACTTTACCACTAAGCCACATTCCCAGCCCCAGCAAGTAATTTTATTTTGCTGATTAAGAACATATATTCAGCCAGGCACTGGTGGCTCACATCTGTAATCCTAGGTATTCCTCATGTATATAACAGGCAATAGATAGTGGTAAGAAACAAACATGACAATGAGTAGCATTCCATATAGCAAAGCAGAGATAAAGAAAACACAGTAAGACACCAGTAGTTAGATGCATACTGTTTAGAAGCATTTTGGTAGTGGTAGAAAGGTATCAAACTACTTTGGTTTAACTGCTGACATTGAGAGCTGTAAAAAGATCTTGGTCTGCCAGTGGCTGTGGCTCATGCCTGTAATTCTAGCTACTTAGGAGGCTGAGATCTAAAGATCACAGTTCAAAGCTAGCTTGGCCAGGAAGGTCTGTGACTCTTCAATTAATGACCAAAAATCTAGAAGTGGAGCTGTGGCTCAAGAGGTAGAGTGCTGGCCTGGATCAAAAAAGCTCATGAGCTGGGCACTGGTGGCTCTCCCTAGTAACCCTAGCTAATCAGGAGGCTAAGATCTGAGGACCATGGTTTGAAGCCAGCCTGGTCAAAAAAGTCCTCATGAGACACTTATCTCCAATAAACTACTCAAAAAAAAACTGGAAGTGGCACTGTGGCTCAAGTGGTAGAGCACTCACCTTGAGCAAAGGAAGCTCAGGGACAGTGCCCAAGTCCAAGCCCCAAAACCACCACACACAAAAAAAAAGAAAAAAACACTTATTTATACTTTAACTAGAGGTAGGCCAACATACAGAGGGACAAAAAAGTGTTCACAAGCAAAGTATACATTATTTTAGAACAACTGAGTCTATTTCAGCATAAAATATGCGAGTGATTGAAGTCCAAAATTCTATGCCAGGTAACAGTCATAACAACTATGGTTTAGAAATTATTTTGTTTTCATTTGCCTGATAATCGGGTTTGAATTCAAAGTACTGTGTCTGTTCAGTTTGCTTGCTCAGCTGGCATTATTCCACTTGCGCCACGCTTACAATCCTGCTTTCTTGCTTTTTGTAAGATGAAAGCTAGCTAGTTTTCTGCCTGGGGTGCCTTCTAACCCTAATCCTCCAGATCTCAGCCTCCTAAGTAGCTAGGATTTACAGTGTGATCCAACAGTGTAAGATGCATTTGTGTGTGTGTGTGTGCGCGCGGGTGTGTACCCACACGAGCGCTGTACTACAGTTTGAACTCAGAGCCTCATCCTGACACCTAGCTTTCTTGCTCACAGCTGGTACTCTATCACTTGAGCCACATCTGTAGTCCACAGCATAATTTTCTTAATATTAGTATTAATGAATGCCTGCACAACCACTATAAAGTCTCCATAAAGGGAAGGCCCAGTAGCTCAGGCCTAATCCTAGCTACTCAGGAGGCTGATATCAAAGGATCATAGTCCAATGCCAGTCTGGACAAAAAAAGTCCCTGCGACTCTTTTCTCCAAGTAATCAGCAAATAGCTGGAAGTGAAGCTGTGGCTCAAGTAGTAGAATGCTAGCCTTGAGCATGACCTAAGGAAAAGCACCCAGGTCCTGAGTTCAAGCCCTAGTAAGGCACCAAAAAATTAAATAAGAAATTCTCAATCAAGTAGCTATAGACTGTCTAGTGGCAAGAAAATCAATTGGCCATATGTATCTGGGTAAATTTCCAGACTTCATTCTGTTCCACTGATCTATCTTATAAATAATACTACATTGTCTTAATACATATAGGCTTATAATAAATGAAAAAACCATGGGGCTAGGAAGGTGGTTCAGTGGTAAAGTGCTTGCCTTGCATGCATGAGGCCCTGGGTTTGATTCTCAGCACCACATAAGCAGAAAATGCCATTAGTGGTGCTGTGGCTCAAGTGGTAGAGCTCTAGCCTTGAGCTTTTGAAAAGCTGAGGAACAGCACCCAGGCTCAAAGTTCAAGGCCCATGACCAGCAAAAAAAAAAAAGATAAAACGTTTAGTAGGGCTGGGAATGTGGCTTAGTGAGTGCTTGCCTAGCATACATGAAGCCCTGGTTCAATTCCTCAGTGCCACATAAACAGAGAAAGCCAAAAATGGTGCTATGGCTCAAGTGGTAGAGTGCCAACCTTGAGCAAAAGCAGCTCAAGGACAGTACCCAGGCCCTGAATTCAAGCCCAGGACTGGCAAAAAATAATAGTAGTAAAATAATAGCAATAGTAGTAACAACGTGGCATGACTGTAAAAGGGGGAAATGCTTGCAAGGTGGACCAAAAGGAATAGCAGGATAGGGAAGGTCGAAAAAAGTGAGTGATGGGGGGTATATACTTTATGAAAATATAACAAGGAAATCCCTTGTACAGTTAACTTATGCTAATAAAAAATTTTTCTTTTCTTTTTTTTTTTGCGCCGGTCGTGGGGCCTGAACTCTGGGCCTGGGCACTGTCCCTTCAGCTCTTCAGCTCAAGGATAGTGCTCTACCACTTGAGCCACAACACCACTTCCAGCTTTTTCTGCTTATGTGGTGCTGAGGAATCAAACCCAGGGCCTCATGCATGCAAGGCAAGCACTCTACCACTGAGCCACTTTCCCAGCCCAATAAAAAATTTTTAAATAGACATTTTAAAATGTCTCATGAAAAAAGAAGCTATGAACTAGAGGCACTCAAGTGGTAGAGTGCCATCTATGGACAAAATGCCAAATGAGAATGTGAAGCCTTAGTTCAAGCATCAGTACTACAGAAAAAAAAAAAAAAAGAGCCAGGCACCTGTGGCTCACACCTGTAATTCTAGCTACTTGAGAGACTGAGATCTAAGAATCACTGTTCAAAGCGAACCTAGGAAGGAAAATCCATGAGACCCTTATCTCCAATTAACTATCAGAAAAAGGCAGAAGTGGGGCTACAGCTCAAATGGTAGAACATTAGCCTTGAGCACAAAAGGCCCAGGAACAGCATGGTGCATGTACACACATACACACACACGCGCGTACGCGCCAAAGCTGTACTTTATCAATAGTTGTGCTCATCTAAGATACACACATACAAGCACAGTACACACATACACACACACACACACACACACACACGCCAAAGCTGTACTTTATCAATAGCTGTGCTCATCTAAGATACACACACAAAAGCACAGTACAACACCTAAGGACCCAAGATGTGTTCCAAGTACCAACTCACAAATCAGACTGCATGACTCCAAGTGCTTCAAAGCTTCTGGAAATTTTAGCCGTAGTAGTTGGTTTACAGTTGTAAACATTGGCTGGAATGGTGGGTCTCAAATTCTGTGTACCAGAATCACCTGAAAGGTGTCTAAAACCACAGACTAGCTGAGCCTCAGGCCCAGTTTCTGATTCAGTGGGACACAGCTTTACAATTCACTTTCTTTTGTGAGTGTGTATGCGCACACACGCAAGTGCATGCGCTGGTCCTGTGGCTTGAACTCAGGGCCTAGGCACTGTCCCTGAGCTTTTTTGCTCAAAGCTAGCACTCTACCACTTAAGCCACAGTTTCACTTCCAGCTTTTTTGTGTTTAACTGGAGAGGACTCTCACAGACTTTCCTGCCTGGGCTGGCTTCAAACCGTGATCCTCAGATCTCAGCCTCCTGAGCAGCTATGATTACAGGCATAGGCCACCCATAGCCCAGCCCGGCCTTCAGCTTTGCATTTCTAATAAGTTCTCAGGCCATGCTGCTGCTGCTTCTGGTAGCGTAGAGACCACATATGTAGAAACACTGAGCTAGAGATGAAGCTGGACTGAAATTGTAGCTGTATTTCATTTCAGGTATAGGTTATTTCTATCTCCAGAATAATGTAGCTAAATTTTATGCAAAGGATGGGTAGCCCTAAACCTCAGTGTTTCTTGTTAACTGCAACCTAACATCCAATACAACAGGGCAAAAACTTGCCACTCCTTGAACTAACCCAGCTGAGTGTCCTCAAAACTTGAACTCAAGGGCTGGGAAGGTGGCTCAGTGGTAGAGCGCTTGCCTTGCATGCCTGAGGCCCTGGGTTCGATTCCTCAGCACCACATAAGCAAAAAGAAAAAAGCCAGAAGTGGTGCTGTGGTTCAAGTGGTAGAGTACTAGCCTTGAGCTGAAGAGCTGAGGGACAGCACCCAGGCCCAGAGTTCAAGCCCCACGACCGGACCCAAAAAAAAAAAAACTTGAACTCAAGACAAGCAAAGAGATGTTTTGAAACAGGGCACTCAAGAATCTTTCTAGGCTCTACCTTATACTATAGCAACTCTCTCCTGACTGCTAGGGGCATTCCCTGTACCTTCTCTGGTTACATTTCCTTTGCCTGGAATCCAATTTTCTCAGGTTGTTTGGTCAAGACAACCTTGGCATTTTATTTTGGTCATTATTTTGGGAAGCCTAGCTTTAGATTCCTCTTCCTTATGCACTTCACACCTGCAAAAGGAAAACCAGAGCCATAGTTAAGGGTCTCTAAATTTTCAATATCCTTCCATACAAAGAATAAGTGGGAGAATCCTATTACTTCCCAATCTATAATATTAATTTACCAGTTTTATTCAATGTACAGTGCCCTGTCTTTACCTTTACGATAACTCAAAGAGTCCTTAAAATACCATAGTCCTGGTCACATGATAAATAGCTGAAGCCTCCAAAAGTAGGTAGGACACACTGTAGCCTGGAATAATTCCAAATTCTTACCCAGAATTGAATTCCACTGGTTTGCCAACTGATAGTATTGGAGGTTTGTCTGTGATACATTCTTCCTTGACACCAAAGCAGGCCCATACACACCCAATCAGGAAGGGTAAGATTCCAGGACCTACAAAGACAGAGGCCAAAAAGGAAGGCAGATCACAAAAAGGAAGAGTACCAGGCCTCTCTACCCACTGGGGACTCAGCAGTTCCAGGAAAAGAAGCATTAGACAGAACTACTGAAAATGCTAACTTAGAAGCTTGTACCAACCACACTTAAGGTGCTGACACTTTACGATCTCACGAAACTCCTCTAGTAGGAATTTCTATTCTGATGGTAGTTTGTTTCGGTTTGATGTTTGTTTGTGCCGGTACTGGGCACTGTCTCTGAAATTCTTTGGCTCAGGGCTAGCTCTCTACCACTTGAGCTACAGCCTAACTTCCGGCTTTTTGGGTGGTTAACTGGAGATGAATCTCACATACTTTCCCGCAGGTCTAGTTTCGAACCTGGATCCTCAGATCTCAGCCTCCTAGGCAGATAGGATGACAGGCATGAGTCACAGGCGCATGGGTTTGAAGTTTTAGCAACGATTTATTTTAGTATAATAAAATAGAAGTAGGACAGAAACATGTTCTCCCGCTCCTCACGCACATGAAGTGGAGTTAAAGACTCCTTGGTGCTAGTTTTGAAAGCCTGGGATCAACTGTTAAGGAATGAAGCAGCAAACATACCTGTATTCTGTGGTGCTAATCTGTGTAATGCACAGTACACGCAACCATAAAGAAAGCTTTTTCCCCTTACAAGCTCATCACTGCCGAGCAGAAACACCCCTAACGTCTCCAGCTATCATTTCTGGAAAAAGCATTTTAAGACCTAGTCTAAATGAAGCGATACCCATTGCGTTTTTTTATTATATCCTCCCCCGTCTTATCTTGTTACTGTTACTTAACACTTTCTGAAACTAACTGTGATAATTTACTTATTATGTGTTTCCACCCACTAGAATGAGTGGTCTCTGGGAACCGGGCCCTGAATCCTTACGTGTCTCGGGTCTCTGGAGTCTGTTTCATCCGTGAATACATGAGATGTCGGCCTCAGAAGAACGGCTGGGTGGGTGACTCCCCACAAGGGGATCCATGGTTGCTGGCTTCTCTTTCTGCGCCTCCAAGCACCCGGCCCAAACCCATAAAGATACAAGAGAAACTTCCCGCCAACCAGCTGTAAGACGGAGATAACCTGACCACCGTGAAAGCTAACGCGCATGCCCAGCTACGACCGCGCTGGTTTACCTCCGCACTCCTTAAGATCACCATCAAAACAGGTTTCCGGAGACGAAAATATTCAGCCTCTTCTCTCTGCTCATCCCCTTAAGGTCAGCTACAGCAAGGAATTTAAAGAAAAAAAGGTCTTCTGTGAAATACGCTCAGGAGGTAAGAACGGAACTGAAGGCCGCATTACGAACGTACGGAAAGAAAAAAAAAAAAAACTCCTCGAATTCCCATCAGCCACTGCGCCGCCGCCCCGGAAGTGGTGACTGAAGGCGGGACTTCCTGCTGCTGTTGCTATGGCTTCAAGGACCTAAAGGAACTGCGCAATCAGCAATGGCGACTCTACTTCCGGGGTATCGAGGCTAGTTAATTTATGGACTCCTGAATCTGATAGCTATTTCATCCCCTCACCATATATGTTCTTGTATTCTTACAGTAGTCTACTCCTAATCTAAAAACAAGGACTCGGGAAAAAGGAGGGCAAGCTCCTAGGTTTTCCTCCTTCGGCTAGTGAAATTTTAGCCTCATGGTGGCAGTATAAGACTACAAATAGGCGCCGTGTCGCGCCGCTCTTCTCCCCCGCCCTAGGCGGCTAGAAAAAACGATCGCGTTCCACTTTAAAAAAAAATAAATCTCTGCCTTAGCAGTTCTTTGGGCAGCCTCTTAACTACACTTTCCTTTAAAATTTCTATGCCAATTTCATGAGCAGAAAGTGAGGGGGGGGAAACAAAACTTTTTAATGTTTCTTTGATTTCTACATTTTTGGGGG